GATGGCCCAAGGCTTTAGGACCCTGCACCTATGTAGAAGACCTGGAAACTCCTGGCTCCTGGCTTTGGTTTGGTGCAGCTCTGGCCATTGCAGTCACTTGGGGAGTGAATCAATGGACAGAAGATATTCCCCTCTCTCTCTCCTCTCTGTATATCTGACTTTACAATAAAAATTTAAAAATCTTTGAAAAAAAAAAGGAATTAAAGCCACAGATGTTGTGCAGCAAATTAAGGTGCATTGCTGGCATCCATACCAGAACACCACTGCCAGCTGTTCCACTTCTGAACCAGCTCCCTAATGATGTCCCAGGGAAAACAGCAGATGATGGAGCAGTTAGTTGGACTGCAGCCTCCCAGGGAGAATACTGGAATGGTCTTATAGTCTTCTGACTTTGGCCTAGACCATCACAGCTCATGTGGCCATTTTGAGAGTAAGTAAAAAGATGAAACAGGCTAAAAAGATGATAAGAGAAATCCTTACACATCCCATAGCATTGGGATGGCAGAGATTCAGATGGCTGTAAAACACTTGGCCAAGGACCGTTTTCCATAGAGGACTGGCTAAATTTGGTGAGGCATGCACAGAATTAGCACTGTGTGAGAAGAGCAGAGTATGAAGCAGATCAACACTAGACTGGGAGTTTAACCATGGATGCCAGTTTTGTGCAAATATGTCAAACTCATCAGAGATAAATTTAACTCTATTCTCTCTCTCTCTGTCACACACACACACACACACACACGCACACACACAAATGCAAAAATGCTGGCAATAACTTCAAGGTTAATGGTGCTATTTTCCAAAGACTTGTGGTTTTGACTTTACAGGTGCTTGACAGGAATTTTTAAAAAATACCAAAACATAATGTTTTGCATGCCTGTAACTAGTGGAAGAAAATAACAATAGTAGTGAAGGGAAAAAAACCCCTTATTTGTATATTTTGACATAGCTTGCCTGGGCTCTAATGGGGTGATGGTGAAAGAAGTGCTAGAGGTTACCAGGGCCTTGACTGACAATCATACTGCAAGATCACGGGCTAATTTTGCGAGCCTGTAGGTGTCTTTACTGTGATTTGCAGATGCAGCTGAAGCCCAAAAGGCAGAGTCATAGTTGAAGATCTTGACTGGGTTTGTGCATTCCAGTTTTCCTCTCAGTGAGGACTGTATGATTAGGGCTTGTTGGATTTGTGGAAACAGGAGTTGCAACAAGTCAATGGCATGTAATATTTGGCAGCAGTATAATGTCATGTAATGTCATGGCAGCAGTAATATTTGCATGTTATTCCAGCTGGACTCCAAAATCAAGAAGGTGGGCTCTTTCCACAACTGGCAGCATATCACTGATGCAGTTGGCACGTCTTTCTTCATAGTGCTAATGTGTAAACAGGTGGACCAGCTAAATCAGGAGTTCTCTTTCTATAAGCCTCTCATTGCTGTGTCAGGTGTCACCTCAGGCCATGTGAGTTAGCAACTGGAATTTTGTGGTTCTATTTTTCTTCTACATCCTTTTATCACTGCAAATGGTTTCCAAGCACGTCTTTGAACCCCTACCCCCTCAATTTTTTCGATCACACAACTGTAAAAATTCTGATGCTTTAATTGAAGCATCTTGTGGTGATAAGGCCTTCTCTGTGGATAGGGCGTGAAAATAGTACCTGTTCAAGGATTTGAGAGAGGTCCTGATCCAGTGATGAACAGTTGGGTGGCCTCCTGCTTGTCCTCTCCTGTTAGATTCCCAGCCAAACTGAATTTATTAAAGTAATTCTGAAGAGGGAGGCTGAGTGTCAGTGTTCTGAGAGGAGGAGTGCGTGGCAGAGGCCCAGTTCTTCAGCCAGCTGGGCTTTTTACAAGTTGATGTTCTGAGGGAGGCAGAGTTTGGAGAAATGGGGGAGAGGGCATTTCAACCTTGGTATGTCTTGCTCCACAGGCAATTGCAATAAAATACAGAAAGCTAGTGTGATCTATTGAAATTCAGTAAAAAAGATTGAAGAGCAGGACATTCTTTCATAATAGCAGAAAAATCTTGATCAGAGGAGAAATGTTCAGTAAATTCAGTTAATTCCCAAATATAAAAATAGAATAACTACATTGGAGGGAAATGGCAAAAGAAATAGAATATCCAGTTATAGAATGGAAGAATGGTGGAAACAGGATGGAAGTGAATGTGTGAGAAAAAGAAAAACTGTGTGATCATTTCAGTAGAAACAACAAAATGCCTTTACTTGTCAATGTACATTTATAATGAAAAACTTAGAAAACTCAGAACTTATAAGCAATATGATTTAATATTTTATAAATTTAAGTAATTATTATAAATCAATGAGAAAAAGAATATGATGCATATGAGAATACGTAAACTCCAAAAATATGTTCCAATGGGCCTAACCACTCAATAAAGAAACATTTTTAATACAGTTGAAATGGTATGAGTGGCTGAGTAGTATTCCACAGAACAGACGTACCACAGTTTCTTTGTCCACTCCTCACTGGATGGACATCTGGGTTATCCCATGTTTTTGGTGTTGTAGCTTGTGCTTCTGTAAATATAGGAGTACAGCTCCCCTTCTCATATACACATCTCATTTGCTTTGTGTATATTCCCAGCAATGGGATATCTGAGTCATATGACAGGTCTGTTTTCCGTTGTCTTAGCACTCTCCATACTGATTCTATGGTGATAAACTAGCCTACAATCCTACCAACAGTGACGGAGAGTACCTTTCTTCCCACATTCAAGCCAGCAGGTATTGCTAGCAGAGTTCTGAATGTAGGCCAGTCTCACTGGACTTACATGGAACCTCAGTGTGGTTTGGTTTGTTTCTGCTTGACAGCTAGGTAGCCTGATCATTTGTTTCATGTCCTCTTTCTGTTTTAAATGTTCACTTTATTTTTTGTTATGATTCTGCCTATGAGTTATTGTGATAAATCAAAAAATTAAATAAACGAAAAAGGAGCAGTCCCTGAAGCTGAGTACCTGGAGATCTAGTCCACGGTGCTTTCATGGGAGGTGAAGAAGGAAAGGAAAGGAATGAATCCTTTCTGTCTACATTGCCCTTGGTTCATGCTACTACGTAGTTAGGCACATGGATGTGTCCAAATGGAGTCTTGTAATCACTACTAGTGAACATTTATTTACGTTCTTTATGTAGAGAATTTAGAACTTTGGATACAGGGAATTTAAACAAGTGCCTCTATGTGATCATATATGCTTTAGAATGTTAACTGTAGGAACTATTTTCAATGTGATGTAATCTTTGTGTATGTGTGTATCTGTGTGTCCACACATTTTTTTCCCCTAAGAAGCCACTGAAAATTCTGACTTCAAAATTAGCAAAGGGAAAGTTTACCCTTGGAAAGTCCAGGAGAGAGTGGGTGCATGCTTCCAAATGTCCTACTGCAGGAGATTCACGCAAGTGTGCTCGTTCTCTCCCTCAGTGATATGTGGCATGTGCAATGTTTGAATCAGGGAAGCTGTGCCAGGCGTTGCTGTCTGGTGCTGTAATATGGAGTTAGACATGTAAACCTGTGAGACATGGGACTGGCCTCAAGAACTTGAATTTTCACCCATTGGAACAAAGATGACTGTTCATTAAGAATAATGTCCTCAGTATAAACCCTCTGATCAAATTAGTATTGTGTTGTTGAGTCTCATACTTTGGAAGTGAACAGTTATGATCCCAGGTATGTTTCTCAAATTAATCTTAGACATTAATGAAGACACTTAGATGAAAACATAGATTTCAGCATCATTTGTGAGAATGGTGAATTGCAAACAGTCTGGCAGTTCCTGATGGGAGACTGATTTCAGGAAACACATTTTATGTTGTTATATCACCTAGTCTGGGTTTGTATTTAACTTCCCCAACCAAAAGTAAGGCTAATCACTTTTAACACATTTGTGTTAATCACAAAAAGACATATAAATTATAGCACAGCCATACTACTCAGCACCTGGTCATCTTCCTTGTCATCAGAACATCTATTTTTATTTAATTCCTCAGGTGAGAAAACCTGTCCACTGTCATCCTCCTGTGATTTGAGTCATCTAGACTGTCTCTGTACACCTAACAAAAATGAACGAGGCCTTCATGTTCACAAGGCGTGCCCATGGGTGACGTCCCACTCAGTTTGTTCTCTTGGTTGTATGAAGGAGGCATCTTCACTGTGTGTAAATGCACCTAGTTGAACTCTTCCATGGATAAGTAGAAGGAATTAATTAACACAAACATTTCCTCTACTGGAAAAGTAGATGCCTGATGGGTGGAATATCTCATTAGCAAATTGTCATCATGCATTATTGCTTGTATAGATTATATGTGTAAATAATTTGAGCAAATGAATACATAATCAAGCTTTGAATCTGAGAAATATTAGTTGGAATCACTACTTCATTTATTTTTATTTTATAAATGTCAAGAAAATATCTCAATTTAGTTTGCTCAATAGAGTGAGGACACTGAACAAGAATTGCTAGAGAATGCTCAATGAAAAGGGTATAAATACGCTTTGTACACATGTGTAAAAATATTTTTAATATTTTTCATGTATACATATTTTTAACTAGGGACCAGATAAATTGTGGAAATAACTATTATAATATTTAATGTGAAGAAAAACCCAATAAGGATATTTGTAAAGATAGTTTGAACTTCACTGTGAAATACTTACCTGCAAATATTATTACAAAAAGAAAGTTAGTCTTTCTAATGGAAGTGTGGAAATTATTTATTACAAATATCTACTTTAAGTTATGCCACCCATGCTCAAGCTAACTACCCGTTTCTTTTTTTTTTTTTTTTTTGGAAGAATTATTAAAAGATGTTTCAAAGTTACAGTATTGATAGAAAGAGCATAAAAATTCTTATAACAAGACATCTTACATTTTGCAAAATTACGTTAGAGAAGCACATAATAATTATGAAGTTCGGAGGGTGGAGGCCTGTGAAAGGAGTCCCTCTTCCAGTGTGAAACACGCTATCAATGTCTCATTTGCCTGTTTTTTTAGATTTTGAATATGGCCTTTAACAGCACCTTCCTCAGAGCCGCCTTCATGGCTTCATTCCGCAAGCTGTAGATGACCGGGTTGAGCGTCGGAGGTACGACGGTGTAGAATATAGAGAACATGAGGTCCATGGCTGATGGGGAATCTGAAGGAGGCCTGAGAAACTCAAAGCCCGCCGCTGAAAGGAAGAACGTGACTACAAACAGATGTGGTAGGCAGGTGGAGAACACCTTGGTCCGCCCTTCTGCTGATGGGATTCTCAACACTGCTGAGAAGATGTGAACGTACGAGAGCACGATGGAGATCAAGCAGGCAAAGGCTGCTGAGGTTGTGAAGGCGGCCACTGCAATCTCACTCAGGAATTCGTAAGAACAGGCTAGTTTCAACATCTGAGGAATATCACAGAAGAACTGCTGGATGACTTTCTCCCCACAGAGAGGTATGGAGAAGTTAACGGCCGTGTGCAGGAGTCCAGAGAGGCCCCCTGCGGTCCACACGGCTATCACTGCACGCCTACAGGCAGCGGGATCCATGACCATCTCATACTTCAGTGGTTGACAAATGGCTACGTAACGGTCGTAAGACATCACCGTGAGAATGGCCACTTCGGATGAGGCCAGAGCTATAAAGAAAAAAACCTGAAGGATGCACTGGCCAAGAGAAATGTAACCGTTATTCGTAAGAGAGTTAGCAATGGACTGGGGGACTGTGACAGAAATGAAACAGAGGTCCAGGAGAGAGAGGTGCTTCAAGAAGTAGTACATGGGGGAGTGGAGACGGTGGTCTAAGGTAGTGATAGTGATAATGAGGAGGTTGCCCGTCAAGGCCAGCAGATATGTTACCAAAAAGAGCAGTGCATGTAAAATCTGAAGCTGTCGGTCATCAGAAAATCCCATGAGGAAGAAACCACTTACTGAGGTTACATTGACCATGGTCACTCTGAAGATATTAAATTTAGCTCTCCCTAGGAAGCCAAAAAAAAAAAAAAATCAGCATCAGGGAAGAATGTATGTTGTCTAGCGTATTTTAGTGTTGTTACTCTGAAAGACAATCTTGAAACCAGTGATTTTTAAATTAAAATCTCCCAATGTCAAAATTTCTATAGTAAAACATCCTCAAAATCACAATCCCAGAGATTCACATCCCGGATTTGAAATCCTGCGAAAATTAAGTCCTCAAAGTCACAGCTCCTGATTTGTCCCAGTCTTGCTTCTGCAAAAATGTGATCTGTACTGGAGCCACACAAAGCAGATTTCTCCATATCAAAGACAACACAAAAGCATAGCTCACAAAAATGGCAACATTTGAGAGGAAATATTCATGCTGGTCCATATCAAATTGTGGAAGATTTCAAAAAGAACCACATCAGGAGAAAATGATCATGAATGTATTTTTCGAGGTGAGCTATATCCTATAAAGTAAAACAACTGCTATTCACTGCAAAGAAGTCTTCACCATGTAGTCAATGATTATGAAAGTTGACCAGTTGTTGCAGACGACCTGTGCACAATTGCCTGTAATCTATCCCCAACAAAGATTTTTCATGTTGTCATTCCTCTTTTATCTTTAGTTTTTCCCACTAGCTCCTATTGTTAGTATTTTTAGAATTATCTGTAATATGAATTCAGTTTCATAATATTTCCAACACTGAAATTATAAATTGCATAAAAATCTTTACATTTCTATTTTTTCATCTTAATTTTTTGGAAATCAAAAGTTGCTTATCACAACCTTGACTTTGCGTGTAAGCAATGTGCATGTGTATAAAAGCATTGAAATATCATCAGTAAATGAGGATATGTCTTTTGAATACATCTATATTGATATAAAATAAAATGTCTCACAATCTCTTCAGGCTGCTGCAAATGGAGTGGTGAATTGTGGATTTTAGTCCATCTTTGAGACTTAAGTTGTCTTTTACAGTATTCCATATGACTGCTGTTATAAAAGTGGATGCACAATTATCAACCACTGTAATGCGCTTTTAAACATTTTCTTTTTTTCTATAATTATTCTTGAGGATGTTCTAGCTGTTCTTGTCATATCCACATGACTTTCATAGTATGCCTGAATGTTTATTTTTGCAAAAAATGTATATTGCTGCCAAGTTTATTGTGCAAAGTTGTTTATAGAGTTCTGCCATGTTTTAACATGCTTCTCAAATACATCTGCTTTCAAAAACAATTTAATTTCTTTTCATGAGTTTTAAATTTATTTTTTTCTATATATATTTTTAAAAGATTTATTTACTTTTATTGCAAGGTCAGATATACAGAGAGGAGGGCAGACAGACAGAAGATCTTCCATCCAACGGTTCACTCCCCAAGAGATCACAATGGTCGGAGCTGAGCTGATCCAAAACCAGAAGCCAGGACCCTCTTCCATGTGTCCCACGCAGTTGTAGAATCCCAAGGCTTTGGGCTGTCCTCCACTGCTTTCCCAGGGAGCTGAATGGGAAGGCGGCTTCCAGGATACCCAGAAGAAGTTCCTAGATCCTGGCTTCGGATCGGCATAGCATTGGCCGTTGCGCTCACTTGGGGAGTGAATCATCGGACGGAAGATCTTCCTCTCTGTCTCTCCTCCTCTCTGTATATCTGACTTTCCAATAAATAAAGAAGTCTTACAAAAAAAAAAAATAGAACCAGCACCCATATGGGATCCTGGTGCATTCAAGGCCAAGTACTTTAGCTGCTAGACTACTCTGGGCCCTGTTTTTCCCTATCTTCTAATGGTTTAAATAAAGAAATACACAGCACACTAATATCATTTATAGTCACTCTACTGTGTGATAGAATTCCAAAACTTCTCATGCATATCATCAAAGACTGCAAGTGCTAGATTTTAGGAATTTCTGATCTTTTAGAATTTCAACATTTCTAACTATGATGTTCAGGATATTGCCTTTTGTAGTTTATACCCAAATTCAACATGTGAGCATCTATATGCTAAGTAACTGAGTATATGTGGCATGAATCTACAGAAATCAAGACAGATTCATCACTGTTATTGTTAGGTAACATTCAGTTGGAAAGATATTCAGCCAGATAGTCTGGAGCAGAGTTTAAACTGTGTGAATTGGAGAAAGAATCTAAACTGTGTGAATTGGAGAATTAGGGGTCAACTGTGACAACAACCATGCAGGAGATCAGGCTGTTACAATAACTTAGGGAGTAAACCATTGGATGAAGTTCTCTCTCTCTCTCTCATTTTCTCTTTCTTTATCTCACTCTGGCTCTCGTTCTCGTTCTTGCCTCTGTTTTTCAAATAAATAAATGTTCAAAAAATGTTGCAGAAATTGTCTGAATTGATGAAGTCTTAATTCTCTGTAAAGTCAGTGAAAACGATACAGCTATCTAAATTATTACATTTTATACATTATACCTTAGTATTATAATGATACACTAAAGTTTCTTTTGTTAACCATCTAAAGTGAAGTTACTGATCCTACCTCACGCATGGACCTGGGAAAGCTCAGAAGCAAACCTAGGAAAGCTGTTAGCTTTAAGAGTGATCGCAATTTCCCAAAGATTAGATTTAATTGATTTGGACTGGAAAGAGAAGTTTTTAAAGTGAAGTAAGCCTTGTCTGTACTCCTATGGAACACTGATTTTACTTTTTACTTGTTGAGCATGATGGTTAATGCTGTGTTAGGTCTATGATTATGAAGTAAATGGAAGCACGTTATTGCAAAAATTAAAGACAAAAAAGGAAGACATTATAAAGGGGATATTGAGAGGAAAAGAGGGATGTCTGGTCATTTTTTTAGAATTGTATCTATGCAATACAAGAAATATTTTTAGATGTTGAGGTTTGAAAGGCCAAAGATTTATTTTTACTGGGATTTGTGACCAAACACTATCTGGTTTGTCTATGGCCATTTTTCTATCTTGTGCAATGCCTTATATGGGCACTAAGTATTTAAGTAGACATGCGGATTTTATTTTTATGTGAACAACAGCTTAGTGATCAAACAACGTTAATTGCTTAATCATATATAGTGATTTAATATATAATCATATGTAGTGATTTGTTTCATTTGCTAATGCCTAAGCAATAGGAAAAAAAGAAAAACCACTTTAACTAACATCTTTTTGTTTCTGCTACAATTTATTTGGAGAGCTACCTGAAACTAATCATTAGGAAACCCATTTGACCACGAGGAATAATCTGTGTTGCAAGATTCCTTAATCCATCACCTCTGATCCTACTGTCACCTCTGTGAGAATTAAAGGAAAAGGCAAACTTCTTTTTTTTTTTTTAGTTTCTTCTATGTCTTCTTCTACCATTTTCCAGTTTTTTTTCTTTCTTTCTTTCTTTTTTTTTTTTCCAAGTATAACTTCTTTGAAACCAGTTTTAATGTCTGCTTTAACCTACTTCATTTTTGGACGGTAGCATGGGTATTTGTAACATAAGTTGATTGTATTAAATCCTAAGTTATAACAAAAGATCAATGTTTTAAACCCTATTGTCAGTGGCATGAAAATAGAAAACATAACTTGTTATTTCTCACTTCTAATACACATTACTAATGTAAGAAAAGTCTCCATCTTTTAGCTTTCAAATTGATTTTTTAAAAGATTTATTTATTTTTATTGCAAAGACAGATACACAGAAAGGAGAAAAGACAGAGAGGAAGATGTTCTGTCGGATGATTCACTCCCTAAGCGGCCGCAACAGTTGGTGCTGCACCAATCTGAATCCAGGAGCTAGGGGCTTCTTCTGGGTCTCCCACGCAGGTGCGGGGTCCTAAGGCTTTGGGTCGTCCTCTACTGCTTTCCCAGGCCACAAGCAGGGACCTGGATGGGAAGCAGGGCTGCCGGGATACAAATTGGCACCAATATAGGATCCCAGTGCATTCAAAGTGAGGACTTTGACCACCATGCTATTGTACCAGACCCCAAATTAAGTTTTTATGAGGAGAAAAATAATTTAGCAAGGCATCCCGTTTGTTCTGCTCTTAACATTACCTTTCATATATTTTAATTGTCTCTTTAATTTTAATTTTCTCTTTATTATCAGTACATCAAACTTCTCAATTAAGAAGGAGGAGAAATACTTATCAATGGAAAAATACGAGATTAAGGAAGTGCTGTTAGAAAATTTCCGAGTTGCATTTAATCCATTTAATCATTCTGTTTATAATAAACTTAACCTTCATTTGCTGCAGAGTATGAGTTTCTTTCAATATTAACTGCTCCTCAAACACATATTTTATTTTTTCATTGATTTCTTGTATGCTGCTTGTATTTTATCCTATGTACTGCTTTTGAACATTGTCCATCAGTTTTCAGACTCACATACTGAAAACCTGTGTTTTATTGAAAGATGTTCACATTTTTCAGCAAACTGCTAACAATTTACCGACAAATAGCTTTTCAAATTTAGCACCACAAGTTTCCTCTCTTTGTTTTCCTGTCATTTTCTGTCAGGTAACATTCCAATCACTTCAATGAGAGGGAATATATAATTAGGTGCTACACTTCTCGATTTCCTGCATCCATGCACACAAAAACGCCACTGCAGCTCTCTAGTTCACCCAAGTCCAGGCTTCGCCTTAAGGCAGAGAAATTCCCCATGCTCATTACCACATCATGCCTCTATACTCAGTCTTGCTCTGTCTCACATGCTACTTTGTCAGTGTGCTGGTTCCCTTTTAAATATTTTTTCCAACATACATATATATATATATTATACATATACATATATTCTTCTCTCATACATCTTAAAAAAAGGAAAATCCTCCACTCCAAATGCATTAATCTTACGGCATTTTCTCTGCTATATATGTTGTACATCTGAACTAAACTATTAGTCTAAGTGCCTTATTTTTACTTAATTCACTTTTCTTTTTAAATCTTTTAAATTTTATTTATTTTTAAAATAAATTAATTGATTAATTTTATGATACAGTTCCATAACTCCCTACCGTGTT